CTCCCAAGAGTCGTCGATCGTCCAGTCTCCCACCGGAACCCCCCAAGACTGAAGTGTCTCATGTCCAACCAGAGCCTCCCAAGACTCAGAGGCCCTGTTCCAGCCCGGAACCTCCCGACACTAGTGTGGTGTCCAATCTCCTACTAGACATACTGAAACTGCTGGATTCCCAGAAGGAGCTGAAGGACGTATGGGCTCGTTGTGAGGCCCGGGTGAAGGCAAGCGAGAAACCCACCCAGTCTGATAAATACCTTTCTGCAGAAGTCATCCAGCAGCTTCCCGAGGTTTTCCTGCTTCCCGAGATTCACTTATCGAATCTCCGCGTAGAGTCTCTCAAGACTCGTCGGGGGTCCCGTGTCCGCCCGGGGCATCCGAAGACTCGTCGGGTGTCCCGTCTCCGCTCCGAGCATCTGAAGACTCGTCTGGGGTCCCGTCTCCACCCGGAGCCTCCCAAGACTCGTCGGACGTCCATTCTCCACCCGGAACCCCCCAAGACTCATCGGGGGTCCAGTCTCCACCCAGAGCCTCCCAAGACTCGTCGCGGGTCCAGTCTCCGTCCAGAGCCTCCCAAGACTGAAGTGTCTCATCTCCACCCAGAGCCTCCCAAAGCTCCAGTGTCCCAACAATTATCGGAGCCTCCCAAGATTCGAGCGTCCTTTCTAAAAGCACTGTTTCCAGAAGATACACCAAGCACAAGGAAGGATTCTCTTAAATTTAGATACACATCAGAAAAACTCCGTGACTTCTTCAAGTGGACTGAAGAAATGGGAGCTGATGAAGAATCCATCAGGGATCTCTTCGACTTTACTCCCAAGTGCAAACCAACCTATGACGACCAACAGATAAAGAAGATAAACAAGTGGTCCTCAGAGCTGCAGTACAACATAGAGCTAGATGAAATGGATGAGGTCAAATTACTATCAAAGGAAAAATTCTGGAGGAGAACATCGCAGACAGCACCAAATTCTTATACTGCGCAACCTGTGAAGATGAGGTATGGAGCGTGGTACCTCAAGCCTAAGCTGTGGAGAAAGCTAAGAAGTGATGAACCTTTGATTGACCCCAAGCTGTTACTGAAAAAGCCTCATAAACCCGACATTCTTGACGAACTTTACGGACCGATCGCCTTTAAGGATTTCATTCTAAGCAAGGGCTACAAAATGCCTGGCGTCATTGAAAAGCTGTTTACCAGGATGGGATGGAAATATGACACTGTTAAGACTCCTATGGAACGTGTAACAAAATATTTCAAGTACAAGCCAGAGGACACAAATGTATCGGAAGAAAATTAGATGGTTTTCAATGGGGTATTTCTTGCTCTCATTTTAAACATCAATCAAAATTTATGATGACTGGCCTGGTAAGTGTACAACTTTGGCAACATCTGTAAATTCAGTATCTAATGTTTATACACATTTCTTAATCACCTGCTTTGGCTTCATTATTTCATATATTTTATCAATTATCTGATTAATATCACTGTGAATATTACATCATAATGTCAATTATTTGTAAAAATACATAAAGCCAGAAACAAAAGAATTATCCTTAAACAGAGAAACAGGGTCAGGCACGTAACCCTCCCTGCTTTTGGATGCATAGGTGTGCCGATCACTTAAGCCCAGGAGTTCCAGACCAGCCTGTGCAACATGCTGAAACCTGGTCTTTACAAAAAAAATGCAAAAATTAGCCAGGTGTGGTGGTGTGCATCTATAGTCCCAGTTACCCAGGGGGGGCTGAGGTGGGAGGATTGCTTCAGCCCAGGAGGTGGACACTGCGGTAAGCCATGATCCTGCTACTGCACTCCTGTCTGGGTGACAGAGCAAGATGCCATCTCAAAAAAAAAAAAAAAAAACAAATATGCTGAGTAAAAGAAGAATTGTATAACTCTTCTTATATTAAAATTGTAGTGAAATAATTATGACAATTATTTTGTTTACCAAAAATTTGAGTCTATAACCAAAATAATGTTAATACTTTTTAATATTAAAATTGTTATCTTCCTCTTTGGGATGCCATCCAACCCCCAAAAACAAGTTTGAAAACTATGAAAATCATAAATGAAACTTGAGTTATGCCATTATATCTCTCAATTGAATGTTTGCGAATTTTCATCATGTTCATAAACCTTCACTACAAAAGACTATTACCAAATAATATAAACAGGTACAGAATATGAGGTAGCTACAACTTCCTGGCAAATCTCATGTGCAAAATAGATCTGTATGACAAAAGCTACCAAGTGACATCAAATATCCTTACATGTCTGTTCAAGTTCAAATAATTTTCATTTCACTAATAGCAATTTAAAATGCACTCATAAGTTTAAAATAAAAAATCAAGCAACTTCGTTACCCCTCAAAAATAACAGTTAACACTGGCGGAGGTAAATTTGTAGCTAAATGTAGTTGTAGTACAGATCTGTAGTGCACTTTTTCTTTCAGTGATGAAAGAATCCATCTGTAAATGGAAGTATATGCATTTATTTCATCTAAGTAAGGAGTGATATATACATCTGTCTATGTGCAAACTCTGTAGTGAAGCTTGTCTGTGGGCAGTGTGTTCCTGAAGAATAAGTTTTTTATGTTGTTTGCTCAGGCAAGGTCTAGAATTTCTCTTCAAATTCATCATCATAAACTTAGGTTCATATCACCACTGTATCTTATTGGATCTGCAACAATTTCCAACCCGTGTCTCTTCTGGAATGCATTTTTATAAAATACAAGCATGGCTTGTTAATTCTCCAGGCTCCTTTTATCTAGGTACATAAACACCCATACACACATGCACAGGCATACATGCACATGCTCCTGCATTCCAGACTACAATCAATATTCCTTTTCTTCTGTATCTTTCTTGTGTCTTCATACGTAACTTTCACTATTGTTAGGACTTCACTGAGGCCATGTACTTCTGTTTCAGTTTCTCCCCACCAACGTCAGTTTCATGATTACTTTTATTAAGATCTTATGTATGTAGACAGGGACACTCATTTCCCAGTTGTCTTCCGCTGAAGAACTCACTTCAATATCCTAGAGAAATTAGTCATGAATGCCTTCAAAATAAGGGAAATCCCCACACTTATTTATTCAGACTTCAGAGAGGCCAATGTCATGCCTCACGGCTCAGAGATATCTGGTTTCTTTCTTTTTCTTTTCGAGATAGAGTCTTGCTCTGTCACCCAGGCTGGAGTGCTGTGTCATGATCTTGACTCACTACTACTTCTGCCTCCTGGGTTCAACCAATTCTGCCTCAGCCTCCCCTGTAGCTGGGACTACAGGCACACACCACAATGCCCAGCTAATTTTTGTATTTTTAGTAGAGACAGGGTTTCAGCTCATTGGCCAGACTAGTCTCGAACTCCTGACCTTGCGATCTGCCCCTCTCAGCCTCCCAAAGTTCTGGGATTACAGGTGTGAGCCACTGCACCTGGCTGAGTTATCTGGTTTCTCAAGTTCTCCACTGAAGCTTTGGACTTCATGCAGCAGCATTCAATGTTAAGTTCCTTTCAGCAAGAGACAGACCTAGTTTTCCACATTTTGTTATGTGACCTTGCACTTCACAGAGGATGTATCCTCATCTACACAATGGACACCATGTGATGAAACTCCAATTCTGGTGAGACTTAAAGGATTACTTATTAAAGTGCCTAATGCCTCAAAAATCATAGAATTGATACTCAACATATATTTGTGGAAAGGGAGGGAGTAGGAAAGGAAGAAGGGTCCTATAAAAATCACAACAGAAAGACAGCAGTAAAATAACTTTTTGATGGTGTTTCTCTGATGACAGCCTTTATCTCTATTACACACAAACAGCCTTTGCTTAAGATGAAAAAGTACTGCTTGCTTTGACTGCACATGTACTAAAATTAAGATGAAAAAGTATAATTAAAAAATAAGAGCCACTGGTTAGGGCTTCTATTGCTTATTGGCAATGACTACTTCCAGTGAAATAAACTTTCCTCAGAGAAATTATGCAGGTTTCTCCACACTGTAATTATACATATTGGTATTATTTGTCACACAGATATAAACAGAAAAAATAACTGATCTTTTTTGATTTTTAACACCAGTTGGCTTTCTGAAAACATCCGGATTTTGAATCCGTAAGTTTTAGAAAGAGAGGGAATTCAAGAGAAGTTGATATGTAACTGTCCCTGTGTAGCCTAAAGCTATGAATGGTATATTCCATAAATGCTGTAATAATTCTACTACAGCATCACATAGATTTCATAAAGGCTTTGGAGAATTGGACTGAAGGAACATGTGATTTAACAAAAATGATGGCAATTATTTTTCATTTATCAGAGTCTGCATGAATGAGCAAGGCCTTTGGAGCTAGGCAAAAATGAGTTCATATCCCAGTGCTGCCATGCTCTTATCCTGAAGCTTTAGGCAGAGGCAGAACAGGTGGACGGAAAACACAGAGGGTAGAAGCTAGGAACCCTTCCCAGAGCCACCACGCACTAGAATGTGTTCCTGGCCCCCAATAAGTTTTACAAA